TATATATATATATATATATATTTCATTTTACTCAAATCAATAACCAATGCGATTTTGATAACACAACTCTCAATAAGCTGAGCCAAATATATTTTTGTCGAATTTTTTACTAAAATATTTTTTTTTTTAAATTTATCAAAACAACACCTGTTCCAATTTATTTACGGAAGTAGTAAAAGGCACCTTTTACTGTTCACACTCGAGGAACCGAATTTTGAACTTTAATTTTTTTTTTGTTTTTTTCTTTTGCTCAGAATTCGGTTTCCGAGGAACCGAATTCTGAGTAGTGTTTAAATTTTTTTTCTTTTCTGTTTGTAGTTTAGGTTTTGTGTTAATGTTACAACTAGAACGGCCCGTTCTCCAAGCAGAACGGGCCGTTCTGCTGCTTAGTCTGTTAATTTTGAAACTGGAACGTCCAAGCAGAACGACCTGTTTTGATTCATTCGTCATGTGTATATTTTTGCATTCGGAACGGCCCGTTCTAAAAGGAGAACGAAACATTATGCAAGGAGAATGACCCGTTCTAAAAGGAGAACGATCAAAACGGGCCGATCTAAAAGGAGAACGGATCGTTCTGGATCCAATTTTACACCATGCTCAAATTTAAAACACAAAAAAAAATAAAAATTAACAGCTCAAAATTCGATTCCCCGGGAACCTAGGAATCGAATTCTAAACGTGAACAGTGAAAGGTGCTACTTGGGTAAACAAATTAGTACAGGTGCTTTTTTAGTAAATTTTTTTAAAAAAAAAAATCTATTTTAGTGAAAAATTCTATTTTTGTCTCTCCAAAATAACTAAATCAAACACACTCTTAAACCCTGCCTTTCTATGATTGAATCTATTTGCGCAATGTTGTAAGCTAAATTCCCTGCTCAACTACGAAGCAAAGAACAAAGTTGAGATCACATATAGGCGTTTTCCCAATTTTGGCTCACCAGTCACAGATTAATATATATATATATATTATTTGAAAACTCCTTATAAGTATATTAAAATCATTAGTTGGTTGGTCAAAGCTAATATTTTATGTATACATACATTTCACACTAATTTACAAAATTAAGATTGTCAAAGTACAACTCATGAATTTAGATTCCTATCCCACGTGTTGTTTACTAAACATTATTCTTCACGGGTCGAAAAAATAGTTTCCACACCAAGAAGTGAATCGTCCTCCATTCAATGCATTCAACATTTCATCTCAGCTCACAGACAACGAGGCTTCAAACAAGCCAAAAAAAAGTTGGCAAAGAGTAGAACATCAATCTTTGTATTTCCTTTCATCAAAGACAAATACTTTATTCTTGCAAGAGTTCAAACTTGCCTCTGGCTATCGCAGAGACACCAGCAAAGAAAACATAACCAAGGTGAAATATCACATCAAATTGACCAAAGACATGATAATAATAATGAATAAAACATTGCAAAATTTCTCGACAAATTGAATTTGATTGATCAATGGGAATAAATCTTGAGGCTCAGGGACTTGTTGAACCAAGACTTCCAAGTACCACTTCCTCCCCTGCGTGGAAGTGCAGCTGTTCCACTTCCATCATCAGCTGCCTCATTTTCAGCCTCTGGCTTCTTGCATAGCATGAAATTCCGAACTCCATGTGATCCAATTGTGTCCCACGGACTCAAAGCTGCAACATCACCAAAACACATTTTAAATCTTAACCCACATTGGGGTTCATCCAAATGCAAAGCGTTCCATATATATACAAAAGATTAAATAATCTATGCACTGATATTACATTGTCATCTAATTACAACTTGTTATATAAGATAAGTCTGCTGATTTTATAATGTAATCCTCAAAGTCATTCTAACCATGCTTTCTGATAAATAATACCTACCAAGATTTTTGATTGATTAATAATGTTTTAGCACCAATAGTCATAGGTATTCAACTAGGAAAAAAGAGATTGCATAATTTCAGGTCAGAGTGCTATAGTTTAGTAATATCTTTGAGGATTCCCCAAAACACTCGACAATGTAGCTCTTCTAAATTATCACTACATAATGTAAACTATAAAGCCAGTTTTTGATTTAAAAATCATTGACTCGTGCTATACAATCATTACTTTTAAAATTACTTGACCTCTGTGGCGTAGGATCCATTATAAAAGAACCAAATCTAAAATTCATATAAAAAAAAAAGCCCCAATTATTTTACCCGCAAACCACATGATTGAGTGGTGCCCTTCCAAAGAAATGTAAAGTACAGTACACAATTTCAATGGCTAATTCAGTAAGGAACTGACATTAAGGAGTGCAGTCAGTACGTAAATTCAACTCTTAAGCGAGGGCCTCAATTTCAAGGGTAAAAATTAATCTTAGTTGTCAGTCAGAAAATCATCACAGATTAACATTTCAATACATTGAAGGTTAAGTTATGCACATAGTAATGATAGTTGATATCTCAACAACTTAGGTCACTTAATCTTACAAAGTGTGTTGATTACTATACAAGAGGCAGATCCAAATTAAGCCCAACATAAAATATATCACATCTGTAATAAATCATCAAATCATAGAATTCTACTCCAAGTAATCAAATCCAAAACCCATGTCAAAGTCCCCATTCCCCAAACCACATAATTCTGCAAATGTTTGCACATATATTTACAATATTGATTTTAAAGTAAAATATTTCATGTTCGGATCTTTACTAAAAGCACGTTTGACAATTATGATACTTTTCCACCCTGAAACCAATCACAAACCTGACCTGTGTTTAGAAACGCGTTGCTCATGCAATAAATCACATCTAATAGGTTATGAGAAATGCCAAACATTCACTCTAACACTTCTTTACCTATTTTCCCTACTATTAGTTGAAAATCAAGAAAATTTGTAGGTCTCACCACTAGACCACATAATTTATGGTTTCCAACAAATTTTAGTAAAAAAAAAAATAGTGTTAGAAAAAGTGTTGCTAGTATGTAGCTTCAATGTAGATATGAAAAACCACATCTCACACAAGTCTACAAATCTCAACCCAATCCCAGTGATTGCAAGACCCGTTCTGAGATACAGATATCCAACCTGGTACTCACAGAATCAATTATCGAATACGTTAAAATAATAATACTTGGTCAACAAATACAGATTAATCCTTAATTGTCAAAGTGAATAATATCCATGAAAAATAAAAAATAAAAAAAATGTCCAATTTTTTTTCCTTCAAATTCAAGATTCACACGAAACGCAAGCAAGATCCGAAAGCAAAAAGGGAATATTGGGGATTGGAAAAGGGCGTGAGAGAGAAAAAGTACCATCAGGTCCAAGATGGGGGCAGTAGAGGGAGAATCCGGCGTCGTGGGTGCCGAGGAGAGGAAGGCGGCCCTCGCGGGCGTAGCACTTGAGGGCGGTCTGGATGACGGCGGCGACGACGTCGTCCTCGTTGACGACGAAGCGGATGGGGCCGGCGCTCCCGAGCACGGTGATGCTGACGAGGAACCTCCTGACGGCGGCGCTCTTCTTGTGCTTGGTGATCAACATGGTAGGAAAGGAAAAAAGGGATCTGGAAAAGAGAGAAAGAAAGGGGTGGGGATGGCGGCGTTCACGGGTCGAGGCCGAGGCAGCGGTAGTACCAGCCTTGCTTGCAGGAGGCGAAAGCGAAGAGGGAGGAAGGAGCGCGCGCCCTTGGTGGCAAAAGGGAGCGCATGAAACCGAGGGACGAGGAGGCTTCTACCATTCACGACGCCCAGAGGAATCAACAAGACGGATCTGGTAGGGCTTCCAAGAGGAGACGGGTATTTATGGTGCAAAGGATGATGGGCTATTCAAATTTGGGTTTTGGTTTGGGTTAGGTGAGGTTGCCGCCGTAGGGTTGGAACTTAGATGCCAAACTCAAATATTCCGATATTTTGATAAACAAATATCTTGTTTGATGAAGCATGAATACGACTATTTTGATAAGAAATAAAAATGAAAAGGTGAGATGGTTCATTATTATGTTCAATTTTATAGAGTATTTTGGACATTTAAACCTTATATCGATGAGTTTAAATATTGTAAACCTATTGTTCAAGTTGATGGCACATTCTTGTATGGTAAATACAAAGGAACTCTCCTTGTTGCCGTGGCTCAAGACGGTAACAACAAAATCTTTCCAATTGTCTTTGCAATTGTTGAGGGTGAAACAGCAGAGGCATGATTTTTCTTTCTACATTATCTCAAAAGACATGTTTGCCCTCAAGATGGCCTTTGCTTAATTTCGGACAGGCACGAGTCTATCAAAACTGCCTACGCTAGACAAGGCAGTGAGTGGTTGGACACCCGAGAATTCAGTGCATGTATTCTGTATTCGCCATATAGCTCAAAACTTCATGAGGCATTTCAAGAATACAGAACGGAAAAAATTAATCATCAATATGGGTATGTACTTAGCATCATTAATTACTTTAATTTGTTTCACCATATTTCAACATAACTAAATTGTTCATTTTTTCCTAATCTGATTTCACGGTTTATGGGATGACTGAGCCAAGATTCAATTACTACTACAACACGCTAAGGAGCGAACTAGAAACCGAAGGTGTAATTGAATGGCTCAACACCATACCAAAAGAACAATGGACTCTTGCATGGGATGGTGGCCGACGATGGGGACACATGACTACCAACTTGGCTGAGGCAATTAACTCCATTCTTAAAAAAATAAGAAATTTGCCAATTTCTGCAATCATCATGTCGACTTATAAGAAATGTAATGCCTTATTCATCCAAAGGGGGAAGGAAGTTGATTCTAAACTTAGGGCTGGCCAAGTTTTTACGGAAATAATGAATAGGGCCATGAGAGATGCAGAATCAAAGGCTAATAGTCATCATGTCCTCGAATTTGATCGTCACAGTACACGTTTCCTGGTGCAAGAGACCATTAACGCAAGGGAAACACCACCTACCGGAACTTTCACGGTTAGACTACATGACAAGTGGTGTGACTGTGGGAAATTCCAGAAGCTACACATGCCATGCTCCCATGTTGTTGCTGCATGTAAGCATGTTCACCACGATTATAAATCTTACATAGATCCGGTATACACATTACAATATGTTTCAAATGTGTATAATGAATTATTTGGTGAACTGCCCAATGAATCTTATTGGCCAGATTGTGAAGAACCGCAAATCATACCAAGTTCGGAAAAGATTAGAAATAAAAAAGGTCGTCCAAAGTCATCAAGAATACACACTGAAATGGATATGGTTGAACCAGGACAACCAAAAAGATGTTCTCTCTATAGAAATGTAGGTCACTCAAAGAAGAAATGTCCTTACCGTCAAGGGAGTTCACGTCACGAAGCTTAAAATGTCATCAAACCTTCTAAATATTGTATTTTGTTTTCTATTATTTTATATAAATATTTTATCTTTTAAAAAAAAATTTAATTAATATTTGTTTCATTATTTATTTAAGTAATAATTATTTCATTATTTATTTTTATTCTAAAAACTTAACTAAATTATTTTATTTAAAAAATTTAAAAAAATTTAAAAAATTGAATATTTAAAATTAAAATACAAAAATAAAAAAATTAGAAATCTGAATAAACAAAATCAAAAATTAAAAAACAAAAACAAAAACAAAAAAAAAAAGGCTATTGAAAAATCAATTTCTTAACAACCGATTTCTCATAATGCCTCTATATATTTTATAAGAAAAGAGGGTGAGAAATCGGTCCCCCCAACCGATTTCTCACCTTAAATAATAAGTGGGTCATTTTGATAAATAAAATGGGAGTGATATTATTTAAAAAAATAAAAAAAATTGATATATTAAAAAAAAAGTCAATTTAATTATGTTAAAAAAATTTAATATTTTATTATATGTGATTATAATATAAAATATTTATAATTATTAAAAAAACAAAGATAATTTGTACTTTCATTGTATTAAAAGAAAATAAATAAATAAAAATAAAAAA